ATGACACGTCCCCTGGCACGTCGCCTGGCGCGTCCCTCAGGACGTTCCGCGGCGCATCCTCCTGGCATGTCCCCTCTGTCGATTAGTTCTGGGGCAGCTACAATCTGCTCAGGCAGCTCGAGCTTAAGATCCAGATCAGTTCGGTCAGGATTCGGATGCCAGGGAGGACTCGATCCACAACGCTAAATCGAGCACAATCGTGGCATGGCACATCGCAGTTCAGCACGGCGCAGCACAGCACAGCCCTCGGCACGGTACATCAAGATCGATACATTCAACATTGCACCTTGAAACGTTCCGTGGCGCGTCCCGTGGCGAGTCCCCCTGGCACGTCGCGCGGCGCGCCCCCTGGCACGTCCCGCGGCACGTCCCGTGGCACGTTCCATAGCGGGTCCTTTTGGCACGTCCCGCGGTGCGTGCCCATGACACGTCCTTTGGCACGTCGCCTGGCGCGTCCCTTGGGATATTCCGCGGCGCGTCCTCCTGGCATGTCCCCTCTGTCGATTAGTTCTGGGGCAGCTACCATCTGCTCAGGCAGCTCGAGCTTAAGATCCAGATCAGTTCGGTCAGGGTTCGGATGCCAGGGAGGACTCAATCCACAACGTTAAATCGAGCACAATCGCGGCATGGCACATCGCAGTTCGGCACGGCGCAGCACAGCACAGCCCTCGGCACGGTACAGCAAGTTCGATGCACTCAGCATTGCAATTTGGCACGTTCCGTGGCGCGTTCCGTAGCGAGTCCCCCTTGCACGTCGCGCGGCGCGTCCTTTGGCACGTCCCGTGGCACGTCCATTGGCACGTCCCGTAGCGCGTCCCTTTGGCACGTCCCGCGGTGCGTCCCCATGGCACGTCCTTTGGCACGTCGCTTGGCGCGTCCCTTGGGACATTCCGCGGCGCGTTCTCCTAGCAAATCCCCTTGTCAATTAGCTCTGAGGCAGCTACTATGTGCTGAGGCAGCTCGAGCTTAAGATCCAGATCAGTTCGGTCAGGACTCGGATGCAAAGGAGGACTCGATCCACAACGCTATAGAGCACAATCGCGGCATGGCACATCGCAATTCAGCACGGCCCAGCACAGCACAGCCCTCGGCACAGTACATCAAGATCGATAATACATTCAGCATTGCAATTTGGCACGTTCCGTGGCGCGTCCTGTGGCGAGTCCCCCTGGCACGTCGCGCGGCGCGTCCCCTGGCACGTCCCGTGGCACGTCCATTGGCACGTTCCGTAGCGCGTCCCTTTGGCACGTCCCGCCGCGGTGTGTCCCCATGGCACGTCCCCTGGCAGGTCGCCTGGCGCGTCCCTTGGGACGTTCCGCGGCGCGTCCTCCTAATTAGCATGTCCCCCTGTCAATTAGCTCTGGGGCAGCTACTATGTGCTGAGGCAGCTCGAGCTTAAGATCCAGATCAGTTCGGTCAGGACTCGGATGCAAAGGAGGACTCGATCCACAACGCTATAGAGTACAATCGCGGCATGGCGCACAGCACAGCACAGCCCTCGGCACGGTACATCAAGATCGATACACTCAGCATTGCACTTGCCCGTCTCCCAATCAGGTGTCTTTGAAACGCCGCCATGCTTTTTACATTTCTATATTCAGTTCCAGGTTCGTGGGTCGATCATGTTTATGTTCTTGAGGGGCCTTCTGGGAGGCCCTCGTCGGCACCGCTGGACCGAGTGGCAGTGTCGCTACGGGCTGCTCAGGAGCGAAAGGAGGACGTACACGTACATGAATCCACGTAGGGTTCGAATGTGCGCATTGCGCGATTGTTCGTAACACGAGCCTGGCCTCGCGGACTGGGGGGGGGGGGGCATGCTCATGTACGCGACTGGGCGCGCACGTCCTTCGTGGGCGCCCTGGGCGGCGTCGGCGACGGCACGGCGCCGCAGACGGCGGCGAGGGCGGCGACGGAGGCGGCGACGACGGCGGCGGCGGACGTTCACGGCCAGCGTGGCGTAGGGTCTCGTGGTCCGCTCTGTGGCGCCGCCTCTGGGGCAGAAGCTGCCCCGAGCAGAGGCTGCCGCTTTTCCGAGGAGGTGCACCTCGAGCAGCCACTGTCGAGCTGAGGGCAGGAACGTTGAGAACGCCGTGCAACGGGCAAGCCCACGAAGAAGCAACACCCGCAACTTACCAGCAATCTGGTCCTGGAGGATCCACAGACTTCCCCAAGATGTGTTTGGAATGCGTCGAGGGGCCCTGGATACGGCTTGAGCATCCCAACATGCAAGATACCTTCAACATGCTTTCCAAATGTTACCCCTGAGGGCTTCGCCCTCTGCCGCCGGCCCCCTCTCTATCAGAACGGGCGATATCCGAGCTATTGTTGGAATGTCTCGGCGCTGTCTTGAAGACAGCTTGGAACATCAGGCGAGGATAGTTGGCAAGAAACAACACATATTGAGATACTGGAGTTCTTGTTGAACGCTTTGTTGCCTCAGAGCATTTCCTTCATCTTGTGTGTTGCAAGCCCAGTTGGAACGACTGGGGGCTGTTTGAGGCCATCCTCGGACAAATCGCGCGGTTGGGGCTGTCGTTGGGTTCCTTGCTTGCAGGCTTCACTACGAGAATTCGCGGCTGCGGGTCCAGCTCAGCATTTTCAGGAAACGGCGGGGGGGCCGCGCCCCCCGAACACATGTCCCAAGTTGGAATCCACTGCCCCTCTGTTATAAGGCAGATGTATAGGAGAGGGAACAGAGGACAGAGTGTTTACACAGTTTGGAGGAATTCGTGATTTCAGTATGGGTCGGGATTGAAGTGCCTCGAAGAAAGCGCGCACCCGAATCGCAGACATATGGCTATATGCGGACCCGGGACAGTCTGCTTCTGCGTTGGGACTCCCAGCACAGAAAACGCGAGCCTTCCTCCTCGGGAGCGGAGGGTGTGGCGCTTCCGGGCAGCCCCTCCGCGGGGTGGGCTCGTGGCCCCCCGGGAGCGCGAGCCCGCTGCAGCTTGCGCCTGCTGGTGGCCTCGCGGCGCAAAGCCGCTGCAATCTCCTCCTCCTCCTCCTCCTCCTCCTCCTCCTCCTCCTCCTCCTCCTCCTCCGCCTCCTCCTCCTCCGTCCTCCTCCGTCCTCCTCCTCCTCCCTGTCCTCCCTGTCCTCCTCCTCCTCCTCCTCCTCCTCCTCCTCCTCCTCCTCCTCCTCCTCCTCCTTCTCCGTACGAGGGGAGTGTTTCGTCCTGGCGGCGAGCGAGGAGGGGACATGAGAAGGAGAAGGCCTTCTCAGAAGCCGGCGGGACTTCTCAGGAGCCCTCGCGCCTTCGGAGAAGTTGCTTGCGCGTCTCCGAGGAAGGCCCAGAAAACTGTTCTGAAGGCTGGGCGACCTGCTCACTTCCCCCCCGAGCTCGCCGCCGATCCTCAAGAGTGGGAATCTGTTGTAATTGACTGAGGCTGTGGCCTCGGGAGCGCCGACGCGTTGTAAGTTACAACGGGGCGCGGCCTCCGGGGCGCGAATCTGGGCAATGTACCAGAGATGGTGTGGTTTCGGGAGCGCGAGCGCGTTGCACTTTGCAAGGGATCGCGGCCCCGGGGGCGCGCATCCGGCGCAAATGATTGAGGCTTATGGCCTCATGGGCGCGAGTCTGCAGCAATTGCCTGGCCATCGTGGCTGCAGAGTCGTGACTTCGGAGTAGTTTACGAAGGGTCGTGGCTTCGGGGGCGCGAATCTGGCGTACCTAAAATAAGGGTCGAGGCTTCGGGGGCGCGAATCTGGCGTGATTCACGAAGGTACACAGCTGTGGGGGCACGAACCCGGTGTGATTTACGAAGGGGTCGTGGCCTCGGGGACGCGAATATCATGCAATTTACATGGAGAATGGCCCTGGAGACGCGAACCTCATGTTTTCAGAGAATATACCAGGGCCCTCCGGGAATTCTGAGAACCCCAGGAGGCCGTGGTAACTAGGGTGATTTCTGGCACACACACACACACACACACACCCTTCGCGCGGACGGTAACAGCTTACAGTTCAAAGCAAGAAGTATAAGAATTCTGCTTCGAGCGATCCCCACACCTTCGGCATTTGTTCACGAGCCTGGCACAGCTTGTTAGAGACCAGCCTGAGCTCGGGGCGCATGACGCGTTGGATAAGACGCCATTGCTCGGTCGCTGCTGCATACTATCATTACGATATGTTCGATTATGTCCTGCTTTGTGCGCACATGACTTGTTATGCTTTGCTCTCGACGGGGCGGCGTGACGTCGTGACGCCTGTCACGCTTGATACGTCGTCTAAGCGGTCGTTGCTGCGCCAGCTTGTTCTTGTGACTAGCCGTACGTCGGCCCGCATGTTGCGTCTGACCGGGCGTCGTTGTTACGTCGCTGCTGTGTTCTACAAATTTCGATTGTGATATCTTTAAGTGTATTCTCTTGCACAGGGTGTGTAGAGCTCCGACGACTTTATTCCGCGTCGCCCCCCCCAGGCGTCCCTGGAGCCAGAGTGGGACCCCCGCGCCGTGGCTCTCTGCCCCGAGTCCCCCCGCGTCCCCAGCGCCCCAGCGGGAGCCCCGCCCACTGCGCCCTCCGCCACGAACGCTTTATTCCGCGTCGCACACCTCCTCCCCCCCCACGTCCCCAGCGCCAGAGTGGGACCCCCGCGCCGTGGCTCTCTGCCGCGAGCCCCCAGGCGTCCCCAGCGCCCCAGCGGGACCCCCGCCCACGGGGGACACTGCGCTCGCATCTCACAGCCTGCGAATGTTGTATATCAAATGCTGTGTGGGGGTCCCCGGTCGAACGGGGCCCCCTGGGGGCTCCAGCAGCTGTCCAGGCCTCCTAGATGGGGTCCGAGTAGATGGGGTCGGAGGATCGCGCCGCATCGCCGATGCATCGGCGATGCGGCTCGATGCGGAGCCCTGTTTTCTCCACGCGGACGGCGCCGATGCGCCGCTGGCGTCGCCAATGCATCCGCGGTGCGGCGCGATCCTCCAACCCCATCCACTCGGAGACCGTCTGGGAGGCCTCTAAACTGGCACTCCAGTTTCCGGCGCGACCCCCATAGACGAGGCGCGAGTCCAGCCCCACTGGTGTGTGCAGGGGACTGCGCGCTCCTCGTCTGTGGCCCTTTCGGCACGGGCGCCGAGCGCTCCGGGAGACGGCGCGCCCTCGCGCCCGGAGCCATGGGCAAGAGCCGCAGGGGCGGCGACGGCGGGGGCGCCAGCTCGAGGCCGAAGGGCCCAGCGGGCGGCGGGCGCCGGCGGCGGCAGGAGAAGAACTTCAAGAAGCGCTCCGCGAGGGAGCTGCAGCAGCAGCTGGCGGGCTTGCAGGAGGAGCGGAAGCGGAAGCAGGAGCGGGAGCAGGGGGGCAGGGCGGCGAGGGCAACGAAGAAGTCATTCCAGCACCTGGCGGAGAGCGGCTCGGCGTCCGAGGAGCCCGAGGCGAAGAGGCCTCAGAAGAAGCAGAAGCCGTCTGCGCCGGCGCAGAAGAGCACCGGCTTCGCCAAGTCCCTCGCTCCAGCGGAGGCCCCTGAGGCGCCCTTCGAGCGGCACTTCTGGGCCGGCGCAAGCCCCGCCGGCGAGCCGAGCGAGGCCCTGAAGCTGCAGCGGAAGGAGCTCGGCGTCAAAGTCCGGGGCGAGCCGGTACCGCCGCCAGTGGCGAGCTTCGAGGCTCGAGAGCTCCCACCAGCGTTCGCGGCCTTCCTGCGCGCGCAGCGGGCCGGCGGGGCCAAGCGGGCCGCCCGCTTCGAGAGGCCCACCCCGATCCAGGCGCAGGTCTGGCCCGCGGCACTGTGCGGCCTGGACGTCATAGGCATCGCGCCCACTGGCAGCGGCAAGACGCTGTCGTACGTGCTGCCCGCTGTGCCCCACATCCAAGCCCAGCAGGCCCCCGCCGGGGGCGACCGGCGGGCGCCCGTCTGTCTCGTTCTGGCGCCCACGCGCGAGCTGGCCAAGCAGATCTGCGACACGTGCGGCGGGGGCGGCGCGACAGGGTGGCTCAAGCGGCTGTTCGGGCTCCGCGCCGGCGCCGTGTATGGCGGCATCGGGAAGGAGCTCCAGATCGACAGCATCACGACGCTGGGCCCGCCGCACATCTTGTCCGCCACGCCAGGCCGGTTGCTGGACCTGCTCAGCTTATCCGCCCTGACCCTGGAGCACGTGACCTACCTGGTGCTCGACGAGGCGGACAGGATGCTGGCCCTGGGCTTCGAGCCTCAGCTGACGGCGATCGTGAAGGCCATCAGGCCGAATCGCCAAGCATTGCTGTTCTCCGCGACCTTCCCGCAGAAGCTGCAGGAGGCGGCGGAGCAGTGGATGTCGCCGAAGCGGGTCGTGGTACGCGTCGCGACTATGCAGCTCGACAACGAGCGGCAGGAGCCCGGCGAAGGCGCGAAACCGGGGGGGCACGCTGCGGCGAGCGGCGCGGAGAAGCCCCCGGGCGCGGCTGCCGGCCGGGAAGGTCCCAAGCCGGTCCTCACGGTGAGCGAGAGGATCTCGCAGGCCGCGGCCGTGTCGGCGACGTCTTCGCTGACGGTGAGCCCGACCATCCAGCAGACGGTGCACGTCTGCGCCGAGCACAAGAAGCTGGGGAAGCTCGCCAAGTTCCTGGATCGCGTGCGCGAGGCCGAGAAGCAGGCGGGCGCGAGGCAGAGGGCCGGGGTGTTGATCTTCTGCGCGCAGATCAAGACCCTGCGGTCGGTCGCCAAGTTCGTCCAGAAGCACGGAGAGCGCTGTGCGCCGCTGCACTCTGGGATCCCGCAGGGCAAGAGGGAGCAGGCCATCGCCGACCTCAAGTCGGGCAAGATCGACACTGTAGTTGCCACCGATCTGGCCTCTCGGGGCTTGCACATCACGAGGCTCGAGCACGTCGTGAACTATGATCAGAAAGTCTGACGCCAGATCCGCCGACCTCTTGACGTGACTCCCTACGTACCCTCCCGTGGAGTTGGGTCCTCGTGTCCTCTCAGTTGCGCCGCGCGGTTCCTTCTTTCTCCGCCTCCCCGCTTCCTCGTCCTCCTCCATCCTCCCTTTCCAGCCGCCGCTGTTGCTGCACTGCCTGCTGCAACTCCGCACACCCCTCACACGCTTCACGCTTCGTGGAGATCCACGCACGGCTTCGCTGGGGGCGATCCTCTTGGGGTCCGCCCAGGCTGTCTTGGACCCTCTTAGGGACCCTCTGGGGGCACTCTGGGGGCACTCTTGGGCGGTCTTGGCGCCTTCTGGGGGCAGTCTAGGCCCGTTTGTGGGGGTCCCCATCGGGCCGCCCGGGGCCGTTCCAGAGGCCCTCCTTGGCCGCCTCGGAGCCTTCTTGGGACTGCCTTGGGCCCGCCTTGGGAGGCTCTCCGGCCACTCGTGGGCCGTCTTGCTGCACTAGTTACTCAGGGCGCGCGTGGACATCTTGGGCTGACAACGCGGAGGCAAGAATACACCCACGACGTTTCCACGAGCGATGTTGTTGCTGTCTGCGGCCTCTGGCGCGCTTCGTGGAGCCTCTTGCCTTCGTTGGGCTGTCCTGGCCAGCCCTGGGTGGCTCTGGTTGGCCGTCCGGGCTGCACCGTGGTGCCCCCGAGGCTTCCGCGAGCTCACGCGCCCCGCCCCAACAGCTCGGGGCCGAGGAGCAGCAGGTTGCACTGCGCCCCGACGGCGCGGCCCAGGAGCAGCCCCAGGGGGAGCACGGTAGTCTCCGCACCCCGCGCAGCCGCGAGGGCCAGGGGTCCACGTCACGCGAGCAAGAACTTCGCGCCTCCGAGCCTCATCCCGCCGCCGACCTGGCCTGCTCCAGCTCCCGGAGGCCGAGCTGGGCAGCGACGAGCATGCGGAAGGCGCCGTCGTCGTGGTTCCACGACCCGTGCTCCATGAGGGGGGAGCGATCTTCCGCACGAGGTTGCGTGCAAGCTTCATCCGGAGAAAGGTGACGATGCTCTCCACCTCCTTCTGCTTGCCCTCGAGCTCCTCCTTCCCCTCGGTTTGGGCCTTGACCGACCTGGTCCAGACGAGGGTGTCGTCGAGAGCCTTCTCGATCTTCTCCTGGTCGCCATCTTCGAAGTCGTACTGGTACGTCGCTTCCAAGAGGGTGTTGCGCATGGTGGAGCAGTAGTGGGTGAGGCAATGCATCACCTCGGGTCACTCCTCGGACTGCTTCGTGAACGCGTCAGCCTGCTTCTTCTCCTCCTTGGCCATGTCCTTGACCTCCTTCTTGGAGCCCGCCAGCGCCGCCTTCAGCTCGTCGATGTCCTGTTGCATCGTCTGGAGCGCTATCTGGACGAACTTCAACTTGGCCTCATCCACGCTCTCGGCGGCCGTGCTGCTCTGGGAGGTCTTCTCCTCGGCCTCAGAGTCATGGCAAGCCTCCTTGATGTCCGACTGGAGCTTCACGTCCTTGTGGGCCACCCCGTTCCCTATCTTCGAGAACTTGCCCACGCGGCTCGCCAGATCGGGACGTCCTGCGTCAAAGAGCTTCTCCTTCGCCTGGGTGACGCCCGTCACTCCCATGTCCGAGAAGATTCACTGCATGCCGTCGAGGGCCTCCACTACCTGCGCTGTACCATCCACTCCTCGTCCACCTCCGTCTTCTTCATGACTGCGGTTCGCCCCCGCGCAGGCTGCGCCCTGGGCTGCGCCTCGCGCTGCCGCTGCAATCGCCGTCGCCATCTGCTTCGCGCCTCCGGGGCCGGCGGTCACCGCCAGCGCCGCTCCGAAGGCCGCCTGGGCGATGGGCAGCCCGGCCATGCGCGCCCAGGGGTCGAGCAAGCCCATGGTGCCGAAATCCGCGCTCGGGCGGTCCGCCGCTGCCTGCCCAGCGCGCGCTGGACATGAGCCAAACATGGCTACGGAGGAGGAGCAGGAGGACGAGGAGCAGTAGAAGGAGGAGGAGGAGGAGGAGGAGGAGAAGGAGGAGGAGGAGGAGGACGGGCAGGAGGCATGAGGAGCAAGGAGGAGGAGGAGGAGGAAGGGGGAGGAGGAGGAGGGAGAGGGGAGGAGGAGAGGAGGGAGGAGCAGTGAGGAGGAGCAGCAGGAGGAGGATGAGGAGGAGGAGGAGGAGGAGGAGGAAGAGGAGGAGGAGGAGGAGGAGCAGGAGAGGAGGAGGAGGAGGAGAGGAGGAGGAGGAGGAGGAGGAGGAGGAGGAGGAGGAGGAGCAGGAGCAGGAGGAGGAGGAGGAGGAGGAGGAGGAGGAGAGAAGAGGAGCAGGAGGAGGAGGAGGAGGAGGAGGAGGAGGAGGAGGAGGAGGAGGGGGAGGAGGAGGAGGAGGAGGAGGAGGAGGAGGAGGAGGAGGAGGAGGAGGAGGAGGAGGAGGACCTGGATCGGGGACTTCGATAAGCCAGGACGTTGGCGCGCCCGAGGAAGACTGCAGCCGTGGGCCCAGGAGGTTCTCCATGCTCCGCTCCCTCCACGCGAAATGCTCCGTGTCCTGCCTGCCTCGTCCTGGTTCGGGGGCCTTCGGTCAGGCGATCGCAAACACGGATTACGGGGGCGTGGATTAGCGACGGGTCCCGTTTCCATGGGAAATCGCGGATTTCCGCCGCCGAGCGAGGCGGCACCGGCCGCATTTTGGGGAGGGCGCTTCCCCCGATCCATGGATTTGGCGACCGCGCACCAGATCCATGGATCGCTAATCCATGCTTGCGCGCCCCCGATTCCAAAAGACTTTCGTTTCCCCCTAGGACGGTGTTGTCCTTCGATGGGCACGCACCTCCCGCGCCGGTACCCCATGGGGTCGGCGGCCTTCCCCTCCAACCTGGAGTCGTACTGCCACAGGATCGGCCGCGTCGGCCGCCAGGGGTCGAAGGGCTGGTCCCTGTCCTTCTTCACGCGGAACCTGCAGCCCATGGCCGGGAGCCTCGCGGCGCTGCTGGAGCGGTGCGGCCAGTGGGTGGACCCGAACTTGCGCGAGCTGGCGGACCCATCCCTGGACCTCCGACGCCGTACCGCTTTCAGTCCGTAGACCGTAAGGATGCCCGACCCCTTTAGGGGGGAACCGGTCTTCCATCCACACTCGTCTCCTGACGACGACCCCGGAACCCTGACCAACTACTGGGGACACCGAGCAGTGGCGAAGACCTCTGTGCGAATTGGTTCAAGACGTTGACGGAGGTCTGGTCTCGGGGGTGCAACATCGGTCCCCGAGACCTGTCCAGGGGTGCGTTCTGTCCAGACGTTCGAGGCGGATGCAGCCGTGGCGACGAGAAGCTTCCTTGAGATGCGACGTCACGAAATATAATAAACATCGTACAATAAATCGACCGAAGCCCTGGACCCCCTCTTTCTGCGTCAACTTTTCGAGCCAGATCAATCAGTGAGGGCTCCAAGGCCCGACACAAAGCAGACTCGCCGGCTGTGAAATACTGAGGCGCCAGAGTTTCAGGCTTCCAGAAACAACCTATTTGGACGACCGCGGGGGCTGCTAAGGGGATAGGGTAAGATGTCCCCGGCAAAGGCCTGGACGAAGTGGACGGAGTCCACTGACTGGAGTCACCAAATCCTTTGAGATGCCACTCAGGGCGTGTGCACCCCACTTGTAAGCTAGGCCGGGCCAGGTACAGCCCACCTCCGCACCCACTCATGACCTCCCCGCCCCCTTGGCAACCCCCGGTGCCATCTCAGCAGACGAGGCTTGGAGGCCGCGCAATGAGGGGGCGACAAGTGGGTGGGCAGCGAGGGCTGCCGAAAAGGGGCCCTTGAGGGCCCCTCAAGGGCCCCTCGAGGGCCCGAGAGGGGGCGTTCAGGGCCCAAAGAGTGCACCTGCCCACCCCCCCCCCCCATCTCCCCATTAATTGTAAGTCGGGCATGTCCCTCTACAGGAGGAATGTTCAAAAACGGTGAAAGGAAAAATGGTGACGAGTTTTCGTGCTCTTTTGACTCGTTGCGATTCTCTTTTGGACTCTGCCTTACCTCTCTTCGAAGACGTCAGCCTGCAGGAGGCCATGCCCGACCCAACATGACCTCGCGCCCCAGAGACGTCGGAGGTCTGGGTCGGCGGCGGCGCCTGGCCCGGAGCCCGATGCCGAGGCGGAGCGCCCGGCCGGCGGCGGCGCGGACGGCGGCGCCGCCGCCGCCGGGGCCGGCAGCATGTTGGAGCGCCTGCGCGCAGGCCGCGGCGAGGGCGCCCCCGTGCTGCGGAGGCGCGGCCGGAGGCGAGCGGCCGGAGCTCGGAGGTGGAGAAGAGACCCGCACCGTGACGTCGGGCACGTCCCTCCTCCGAGGCGGGAAGTTGTCCCTATCCACCGCCTGGAGGGGCAGTCTTCGGAGCGCCGGCAGGCGGTGGATATGGACACATTCGGGCCCCCGGGGGCCGAAGTGTATCCATATCCACCGCCCGTTGGGGCACCGGGACGTCGGTTCCCAGGCGGTGCATATGGGTAGATCTCCGCCTCGCACCTCTACGAGAGGAATATTCCAGAATAGTTGAAAAAGAGTCTGGGGACGAGACCCAGCCGTACCGCTGCCCTTGGCCCGTTTTCCCTTTTTAGGGGCCTCCTCGGGGACCCTCGTCGCCGCAGTTGGATTCGCCTCGAAGTTCTGGTCAGAACGCACCCCAGGAGAGGTCCACGGAGTAGCGGCATCGGTACCTTTTGGCTTCCCCAGGAGCGCCGCGCAAGCACGGCGCGGGCGGCGGCGAGGACGCCGACGGCAGCGACTCGGCGCTCGGCGGGGAAAAGCACACTCCGGTGGTTCAGAGACGGGGTCCTGCGGGAGGGGGGGTCCTACGGACAGGAAGGGGTCCAAGGGTGGATCTACACTGTTTGAGCCACCTCGTCCTTAGGACCCCATCTCTTAGGACCCCATCTTGGAACCACCGAACACCAATGCTGGAGAGACTGATTATTTTCCGTCGCAGCGCGGCAGAGGCAGTCCGCACGCGCGCTCGGGCAAGCCGGGTGGCGGCATTGCGAGTCTGTTCGAGAAACAGAAGCCAGCCTGAACATATATTTGTTTCCGGAGCCCCGCGCGGATTTCTTCTTGGGCTTGCGCTGAGCCGCCCTGGCGGCGCCTCTGGAGCCGCACCTGGCGCGCTCCGCTCGCCAGGGAAGGGCGTCCAGCGCAGATCCAAGAAATCTGCGCGGTCGGGGGGTTGCAGACCCTGACCTTCCAGGAGGGCTAAAAAATAGCACCAGGACATCGGCGTCCTCATTCCTGTCAAGGTTTGAGGCACTCCAGATAGGTCTATAGGTCTGGAGTGCTTAGCACTCTGGAAGGTCAGGGGAAGGTGCCCCTGGCCCAAGGAGCCCCACGCTTTTCGCTCCGTTCCGGAGCCCCTGCCCCTGGGGCACCCTGGGCCTCAAGAAGGGGTGCTCTGGAGGCCGGGGGGGCCTCTCCTTGGAAGTGCTGGGCCCCCTTGGGCCACGAGCACGTCTAGCAGCACCTGAGGAGAGCACACCGATACTCCCCAGGCCTCCTACTGTGGGGTCCGAGCGGCTGGAGTCAGAGGATCGCGCCGCATCACTAACGCTTCGCCGATGCTGCTCGATGTGGAGCTCGATTTTCTCGACGCCGGCGTCGCCGATGCATCGGTGACGTCGCCGATGCATCACCGATCGCCGATGCATCGGCGATGAGGTGCGATCCACCGACCCCATCTACTCGGACCTCATTGGGGAGGCCCCTAGATCCCCCAGACCCCCGCTCTAGATGCATGCGTTGCAATGTATCCTCACTGGGCGTGTTCGTCCAGTTTCGGGCCCTGGGACCCTCAGTCCGGCTCGGGAAATTGCGCAGAAAGATGGTGCCTACAGTGTGAGCCCATGCCAAGAAACACCCTGCTCGCCTCCAGGGTGCCCTGGGTTTCTTGGGCTTCGATGGTTTTACTGTGAAGAGCGTGACGCTCCCATCCCAAAAATCAATGGACATCCTGGGGTTTCAGAGTTGGGTATCTTGTGAAAAGTTTCTTGTGGTCGAGCTCTTAGTGGAGGGCTGTCTCTGGTCGTGTTTTTGGGATGCTGCTATTTGTCTTGCAACGTCGGATCTCGGGGCCTCGCGTCGTGAAGGCAAACACGACGAGAGGTTTTGAGGCAATCCTCGGCCAGCCGAGCCCTGGACCCAATCTGCCTGCGTCGCCTTTGTCGAGCCGGCTCGATCCGTGAGGGCCCCGGGGCCCGACGCAAGGCAGAACCGCCCGCTGCGGAAGAAGTGCGACGCCAGGATCTCAGGCCTCCAGAGGCCTATCTGGATGACCGCGGGGGCTGCCGAGGGGATGGGGGGGGGTCCGTTGATGCAGAGGTACCTTGCGGTTCCCCGGATAGGGAGGGGGGGTAAGTTAGCGGAGGGGTAAGTTAGGGGAGGGATAGGAGGTTCCCCGGATAGGGGGGGTTCAGTTGGGGGGGGGGTAAGTTAGGGGAGGGGTTAAGTTAGGGGAGGGGTAAGTTAGGGATCTCAGGGTCGGCATCTTGCTGCTCCCCCAGGCACGGTCGTCGCGGGACCAGGCGGTCGGGCAGGGCGGGGGCCTGCGGATCCGACCCTCGCGCACCCGGGAGGCCTCCAGCGAGGGCGAGGCGAGCCCCTGAGCGCTGCGCCTGCACGGGGAGGCCCTCCTGGGGCGCCGCCGCGAGGCGTGCGAAGCGCGGCGCCAGGGATCCTGCTCCTCTCCCTGCTCCTGCTCCTGCTCCTCCTCCTCCTCCTCCTCCTCCTCCTCCTTCTCCTCCTTCTCCTCCTCCTCCTCCTCCTCTTCCTGCTGCTCCTCCTCCTCCTCCTCCTCCTCCTCCTCCGCCTCCGCCTCCGCCTCCGCCTCCTGCCAATGTTTTCTTCCCTCGAGCTCTGGGCGGGACACCTGCTGCCCTGGACTTCGCTTGCACGTCGGGTCTGCGTGCAGATGTGCTACGAGACGCTGCGACGAACCCAGAGTCTATCCCCGGTGCATACGAGGACTTCAAGAGGTCTTTTAAGGCGTTTGGACAGACCGCCACAACAGAGGAACTCTGCACGGGGTCAGGTCTGTAATTTGTCCCGATGGTCATCGAATCCCACAGCGGTGGTTGGGGGAAGACGACACGGCAGACCTTGGACACGATTGCCAAGCACGTGAGCGCCTGCTGGCGCGGGGAGGCGGGGGGGAGCTTGCGAATAGCCCAGCGATTGTCACGTTCCCTTCACAAGGAAAACGCGCGGGCCATTTTGCGACGCCTCCACGATCCCGCCCTGGGCGTGGAGGTAGGCGGTTGGTCGCCCGGCCACGTGCCGCCGCTGTGGCAGTGAATGCCCCTGTTTCTTATCCGCCTCCGCCTCCTCCTCCTTTTTCCCTTTTCCAGTGTCACAGCCGCGTGCGCTGTAGAACGAGATGAGCCGATACCGTCTCACCAGTTGCCCGCCGAGCTGGGCCCGTGCCCCCCTTGCCCGCTGTCCCTGAGCGTCCCTCCTGCCTGCCCTGTCTCTGGCTTCTTGCTTCCCTCCCTCTCCCCTCCCTCTCTCCGTGTCCTCCCCCTCTCGCCCTCGTGCGTCCGCCCCCTTGTGTGTTGTGTCCTCTCCCTCTCTCTCTTTCTTTCTCTCTCTCTCTCTCTCTCTCTCTCTCTCAATGCTTGGCTGCCTCTCTCCGTCTCCCGTCCCTCTGTCCGTCGGCCCGGTCTGTCCTTCCCTGTCGTCGTCCCTCCCTCGCCTCCTCCCTTTCTCGCTCCTCGGCCCCTCGCTTTCCAGCTTGTCCCCGTTCCGCCCCTGGCCCGCGCTTCTTTGTCGGCCCGCCCTGCGGTCGGAATAGGAGCGCCGCCAACTGGAATTGCATTCTTCAGCTATACTAACGGAGAGCAAGCGGACCGTTGGTGGAGCTGTACATTTCTAGGGGGGCAGACGTGGGCGCCTCACAACGCTTGGGGCGATGCCAGTTTTTTAGCGTAAGCTGTTCTTAACTCCAAGTAGAAGCGCGATGCGGACCCCGCTGATCCCCAGGAGGCGTGCACCACTTCCACAAGGCGTTCTTAAGTTTGGTTTCTACGCTTCCAGGATCTGGCGCGGGCTCTCGGAGCCGGGCCGTGCGTCTTCTTTGTGACGCGATGAGATCTGGGTCCGCTTCTTCTCTCTCTCATCCTCCCTCGCGCGCGCGCGCGAGGAGGACAGATCGGGCCTCCTCCTCCTCTTCCTCCTCCTCCTCAATGTCCTCCTCCTCCTCCTCCTCTTCCTCCTCCTCCTCTTCCTCCTCCTCCTCCTCCTAAGGCACGGTCGCTCCTCCTCCTGCTCCTCCTCCTCCTCCTCCTCCTCCTCCTCCTCCTCCTCGTCATCGTCCTCCTCGTCGCCGTCATCCTCCTCCTCTTCCTCCTTTTTCCTCCTCCCCAACAACAACAACAACAACAACAATCATTTAAGACTGGGGACACTCCGTTCTCACCAGTGCCAGGGTTTTCATAGGAGGCGGGCAATACCCCCACTTTGTGGGGGGGCCGGTTCAAGCTCTACCACATTTCCAAGCGACTCTTCGCCACCACCCACACCCAGCTTCCCGCCCTAGGACGTTCGGACACTTCACTTCGTGGCACGCGGACGACCGTGGCTACTATTCAGGGCCCCGCGGCCGACGACGACGGCGTGCGCGCGCGAAGAAAAAACGAATGTGTCCCGCATGGTATTATTTGACAGGGATGATGGCCCTGGCAGGTGCGCAACCGTTGTCGCAGAAGTTCGAAAAAGTTGCTCGCAAAAGCCCGTTTGACAGAAATGTTTAAAAAGTGTTGGGTTTCCTACGAATCCGCAAGAGCGCGCGGGATGAGATTTTGACATTTTTTTGTTGAAAAACCATTGGTTTTTTGATGTTTTTATGTTAAAATCGCTCCGAACACTAAGCTTTTGGAAGGATTTCGTCTTGCGCGCGCGAATGTCCACTTTACCTTATTTTTTGCAAGGGATTCTTGAAATTTGATTATATTAGAACAAGAAATGTCATTTTATAGTGTTTTTTGCAAGGGAAAACGGATTACAACAAAACAACCGGATCTGGATCACATCGTTTTACCTGAGGCTTCCTCACGAAAATGATGAAAATGTGGCTGCGGCCTAGGCGCGGGGGGGGGGGGCGTGCACCAGGGGGCCCAACAATCATTATTCTTTAGAATTAATAATGTTCAACAACATTAACAACAACCCGTAGCAAAGACCGAAGCGCCGAGCTGGAGCTACTGCTGTTACTGCAACTGCGCACTGCTCAAGGCGAACGGCGGAGAGAGAGAGAGAGGGAGAGAGAAAGATGGAGGCAGAGAGACGGGGAAGGAAGACAGAGAAGAGACATGGCCCGACCTAGCTCTTGTTTTTTTTCGTCGCGGTCAAACCGCGAGGCAGGAGGGGAAGGGAGGGAGTGCCCAAAACTGTAGTGTCCCACCTTCTGCCGACTCCGCCAAGTTCTCCTCTCTCTGGGCACCCCCTCTATTGCAACTGAGCGAAAGCTAGGCTCTTGGCCAGCTCACCACGCCCGACTAAGCTCTGGGTTCGGGTCAAGCGGCACGCACGCCCACTGAGAAGATCCTCCGCTCCACCCCCCGATACACCTATCCCCCCGGCTTCCCCAGGAAAGCCCGAGAGAATAGCCCTTGACAGTCGCTACGTCAGCTCTTCGCTGCTGGGAGGCAGGGTAGAAAGAGGGAGAGGACTCTGTGGAGGAAAGCAGGGAAAGGGAGAGGAGGCGCCGAAGCCAGGGGCATAGATGTAAAGCAATCCCTCCTCCTCCTCCTCCTCCTCCCCCAGCAAAGGCTATTCGGCCCCAGCCCGAGCCACACGATTCTTCCAAGCGACTCAGGCGGCTCGATGAGCTTGAGTGTTGCTTGTGCTGCTCCGCCCCTCTTCATTGTGAATGACCCCTCCCCGTCGCACCACCAGGCTTGTCGGGGCGCCGGCGCCAGGCGTTTCGTCTGGCAGTGTGGCATGTCCAGCAGCGCTACACGCGGATGCAGGGCGGCACGCTTTCAAGATCGCATTCTCGCCTAAGATGCTCACATTTGTTTATCCACATCGTGTCGTGCTGGCACAGCAGCAACCCCCGCGCGGGCGTTCTAGGTTAATCGGCCAGTGTGGAAAGATCCATCGATCGAAAAGCCACCGATCGTTCACGATTGAACGACCCACACTATGTCAGAAACAATCGCTGGGGTTTGCGCGACACGAACATGCCGTGAATGACCTTTGCGTAAGGGAGGTTGATCGTGTGCAAAGTGTATGTTTGCCCGAGGCTGATACTCATTCCCTTTTTCCCACGTGCGAGAGTTCTAAGAATTCTACGCAATGAATGGCGGCCCATTTTCACAAGCAGGTTGTCGCTCGAGACCCCTGCACAGCTTAGAATCCGTCAGCGCAGAGTGTACAACATCTGCACAGATGGAAGGCGGCTGGTTCCCAAGCTACCGATCCTGGTTCTCCGCCACCAGATCATGTGCAGAGCATGTGTCCGTCGAGCGGCTGTTCCGCCAGCAGCGCTTGCACCAAGAGGCCCTCGTCCCCGAACAGTGCTTGCACCCAGCGGCGGCCATGTCGCCTGCTCGAGCACCTCGACGGGCCCGCCGCGGCTGCCCCGCGTCCCCGCCCGTGGGCGCTCTCGTGGCCGCCCCGTGCCCTGCACGGGCCCGCCAACAGCTCGCCCTGTGCCCTCCGGGGGCGCCTCGCGGGCGCTCGCGGGCGCCCCCCTGCCCCGTGCCCCGGGGGGGGGGGGGGCCTGCCGAGGCCTCGCCGCAGTGCCCGCCCGCGGGCGCCGCGATGGGCGCCTCGCGGGCTCCCCGCGCCCTGGGTGGGGGAGCACGGCCTACGCAGCTCAGCACGGCTCACGCCGCACAGCTGGCGGCGCACAACGTACGCCGCACGGCCCACACCACATCGGCAGGATCTGTGCAGCTCGCGCAACGTAGCTCACAACACAGAGCTCATACACGACGTAGCTGGCACCGTCTGGCTCATGCCACAAACCCTGCGCAACATTGCTAGCACCGCGTCGCATATTCCGCACAACTTCCACCTCCACACTGCAGTAACTCACTGCTTGGGGTCGACGCTGGCGAACAGCTGGTGGCTGGGTGTTCAAGGTTTTCGCCCGGTGGCCGCCCGTGGTCGCCTCATGGCCGCCCCGTGCGCTGGCTGGCGTTTCCAAGCTCCCGCCCTGTGGCCGCCTCGTGGCCGCCTTGTGGCCGTCAGGTGCGCTGGCTAGCGTCTCCAAGTTTCCGCCCTGTGGCCGCCTGTGGCCGCCTCGTCACATCGAGTGCGGCCCGCAGCTTGCACCAACTGACCTGCTTGCACCCCCATGCCGAGGCTGGACTTATCAATCTGGTTGTTCGAGTAGTTCATGTGTTGCACATAGTTGCGATGCACGATAATCTATATGACGCAAGTGGTATCGCCCCCCCCGGCTCAGGGGCGGCCTACTTTCAATGTTCTCTCTCGCACACACACACACACACATACACACACACCAGTAACCAAATTGAGCCCCCAGAGTTTTGGGCCCGTCTCGGGTCCTTTGGGTGACCATTTCAGTTCCGAGATGGGTGACGACGGCCGTGGACGGCCCCAAGTTGGCGCCAAGAAAGCTCCCAAGATGCCCGATATCTGCTAAGGACGGCAGAAGATCGCCCAAGACCAAAATCAGCCTGGCGAAGGACCTAATCATATGCAGCGGTGAGTACCGCAGTTAGGGGTATCGTCTTCGGTGGAGTTTCCTATGGGCCACGAAACAGTTTGCCACCGAGGCCTTCGGTGGAGATCCCTATGGGCCACGAAATGCTATTCTGGGTGGGGGAACCGCATGTGGACTTTGCCATTGTGGCCTTCGGTGGAGCTACCTGTGGGGCCACGAAACGCTGTACTGGGTGTGGAATCGCACGTGGACGCTGCCATTGAAGCCTTCGGTGGAGCTCCCTTCGGGGCCACACAACGTTGTACTGGGTTGGGGAGACGCATGCGGACGGTTCCACTGGGCCTTCGGTGGAGCTCCCTATGGGGCCACGAAACGCTGTGTTGTGTTGGGGGGTGGAGCCCCCTATGGGGCTACGAAACGCTGTATTGGGCGGGGGGAGACGCATCATTCGGGCGGTAGCGCTGTGACCTTAAAGGCAGCTCCCTCTGGGGCCACGAAACGCTGTACTAGTTGTGGGGCACGCATGCGGGCGGTAGCACTGGGGCCGTTGGTGGGCTCCCGATGGGGCCACGACAAGCTTTGTTGGGCGGTGGGACGCATGCAAGCGGTAGCACTGGGGTGGAGCTCCCTATGATGCCACGAAGCGCTGTATTGATGCGGAGAGCAGAGGCAGGGATGGGAGGAGGGAGGAGCGGGAGGAGGAGGAGGAGGAGGACGAGAGAAGAGGAGAAGAGAAGAGAGGAGAGGAGACGCGAGGCGCCGTCTCTTCAAAACGAGGACCCAACACCACAGGATGGCTGGGAAATGCGGATGTCCGCAAGACTTCTGCCAGATTTGGGCGTCCCCGTTGTCTAGGGCTCTTGAGGCCCACGCCGGACTGCCCCGGGGCTACAAGAGCTACAAGAGAGCCCCCGAGAGAGAGCCCAACCGCGCGGCCGCGCTCTCCTCCCTCCGGGTCTCTTGCGCGCAGGACAATTTGCCCAGTGGTGCCCCCGGTTGGCCACACGCTGGTGCGGATCGCCTCCGCCTCCCCGCCGACGAAAAACGTACTTATGTTCAGTGGACTTGTGTCGGGTCATCTTTGGCACTCCTCGTGGCATAGTGGTGGGGCCCTGGGTGTTGGGCGGCTGATGATACGGGTTGACTGCCGAGTAGTCCGCAGCTGCGCTGGCTCCATACGAAGCGATGAAAGAAGTCGCGTTATCGGAGGTCGGAAGTCACAACACGGCTGGTGACTTCTGGACAGTGATACATGGCGCCGTTTACGACATGTCCCGTTTTGCGCCATTTCATCCTGGCGGCCCGATTATCATGTTGGCTGCAGGGACTGACTGCACAGTGATGTTCGAGCAGTACCATCTGCGCAGCCAGGCAGCCTTAGACAAAGTCGCAGGCTGCAAGGTCGCCGCTCTCAAGGGCAAGTCTCCCGCCATGGGCCCCATGTTCATTGAGCTCCAACGTCGCGTTGCAGAAAGACTGAGCGGAGAACCAAAGCGGCCTCGCAGCGTGCAAGTTTTGTTCCTTTTGGATGTGATAGCAGCTGTGCTTGCGCTGTGCTGGTCAGTCCGTGCAAGTGCTACCACACCGACTTGGCAACTTCTTTCAGCTCCACTCGCCATTCAGCTCCTGTTATTGCGACTATTCGGACAGGCGCATGCCCTCGGCCACATGCAGATCTGGCCCGCACCGACAGTGACATTTTGGCGACGCTTGCTGACAGCGATTGGGAGTCCTGGCATCGGCCTGGCGACGGTCCCGGAGTCCAGCGAAAACCCGCGCAAGATGCTGAACGAAGCGCACGTTGCGGCGCAGTTCGAGTTCCCAGATGGGCGTGGACCGTGCGAGCACCAGTCCGTTCACCACGTTCGCGGTGCCGAGCTTGAGCACGACCAGTGCTACAAGGTCTGTTCAATGGGCGGGCTGTTGAGGATCGGCGGGCGCCAGACCTACCTGACGGTGAACACATTCCAGCGTTTTCGATGGTACCAGATTTTGGCTGGCGTGTTTTCGGATTGCATGTTGCCTGCCGTGGCCGTCATCGAGCGCGTCGCCTTTCTCTCGCACTCTTGGGTACCGCAAGCCCATTGGGTCGAGATCGGGGTTTGCACGTTGGGGATTCTCGCGTCATGCGCGTTTCTCAGGGCATCCTTGCTGCTGTTCGCGAAAGGCATGGGAGGAGTGTGCTGCTTCGCATGCGCGCAGTTTCTCAAGCAGCACCTTGTTGCATCCAATGCCGAGCTTTTTTTCGCACAGCACGTGTGGGACCGCGAAGTTGGCGAAGAAGAGGTGAACCAGGATTGGGGCAAACACAACGCTGAGACGTCGGTGTCTCTGAGGGGCATGGAGAGCCATCCCGCGTGCTGGGGAATGCCGTGGATGGCAGGAGCCAATCCGTCAACTCTGACGTATCATCTCGAACACACGTTGTTCCCTGGCGTGGCCTATGCGAACTTGCCCAAGATCGCAAGGATCGTGGAGACCACTTGCGCCGAGTTCGGCGTCGGGTGCGACGTGCTGGTCGGCGGATCGAAGTTGCGTCGGAGATGGACGACTAAGCTCACCCACTACGCCACTGATCAGACGAAGGCTGTGGGCATTTCGAGTATTGTAGACGCCGCTCGAGAGTTGTTTCAATTTGTGTTTATGCTGCTCACAGGCAGGTGACAGAAGTCGCGTCTGGCGAATTCAGTGTCATCGCTGGCGTTGCTCAATCTACTTGGTGTTGTTTTCTCTACCTTGTTGTGTTTTGTATGTCCCATACGCTGCGTCTATGTACCCTCTGGCCTGCTCCTTCCCTTCTTTCAAACAGTGCCTTGGCGGTGCGAGCATCTAATATTGCCAACCGTTGGAAGACCGCGCGGAATCAGCCATGCGGCTGCGACGGCCCTTCTAATCGTGATGTTGGCGCGCTCCTCAGTCAGGTAGCGCCGCAGCCAAAGGGCTGTGAAGCCAAACAATGGTCTATGACGCCTGTTCGTCTTAACATTTTCCGAAATATATAGTAAAAAAAGAGCGCCGCGGTGCTTCTCATGATCCGCCAGGCGGTTCGGCTGGGCGGGTGGGCTCGCGCGCAGGTGGAGGCTGCCCCGCTTGGAAGCTTGCCAGGACGTCGGGCTCTCTCCCAGATGTTCCCGAAGAGCCCCTCGGGAACCTCGGAGTGACGGTGAAGGCCGGTGATTTGCATGGGCATCCCATGGGCCTCGCCAGGTCAAAACGACCTCGGTGACCTGCGGGGTCCTCCAGCGGGCCTCGCAGGGTCACCGACCTCGGAAGCTTGCTGGGGCCTCCTGGCAAGTTCGCCCAACATCTTAATTTAACCGCTCCGCTCATTCCGCCGGCCCATCTTGCACCACTCTGTGGTGTGCACATCGCGGGCGAGATGGAGGATAGCGGACTCGATAAGTGGGGAGGAGGAGGAGGAGGAGGAGGAGGAGGAGGAGGAGGCCTCTCGACAGCTTCTTGGTGAACTACAGGGACCCAACTGGGTCGCGGACAAGACGCCTCTTTGGAAGGCTTCTTGGGGTCTCTTGGGAGGCCTCTCGAGGGTCTCGTGGTGGCATTTGGGGGGCCTCCTGGGGCCTCTTGTGGGCTCCGTGGGGGGGGCCTCTTGAAGGTTTCTTAGGGGCCTGCTGGCGATCTGGGGAGCACAATTTCGGGGAAGGTTCGATCTGTCTGTTCGAGTTCCCCCTCTTGGGGCCCTCATGGGAGCCTCTGGAGCCCTCTGCGGAGGCTTCTTTGGCCGTCTTGGGGCCCTCTTGGGCTGTTTCGGGGCCGTCCCAGGAGCCTTTTGGAAGGCTGGCTTGGGGCGATCTTGGAGGCCTCTTGGGTCGTCTTGGGCGGTCGGAAGCTTACAAAGGCGGTACAGCCAAAATCTGTCAAAAACCGACGTAAGATGATTGAATGTTGCCTCCTCGGGCCCTCTTGGGGTCGTCTTGGAGCCCTCCTGGGGCGTCTTGGGCGCCTCCTAGGCTGGCTTGAGGCCAACTTGGGCCATCTTGGCACGCTCTTGGCCTGAGGCCGTGGCGACTCCTTGGGGCGCTCCCTGGGGGGCTCCACAGGCCCCCGGGGCTGCGCCCAGGAGTTCTGGGATCTCCGGGCCCCGACCTGCCAGGGACTTGCCGGGACCTTGTCGGGACCTTGCTGGGACACTTTCCGTCCGGGGACCCCCGCGGGGCCGCCACGCGCGCGCGACCTGGACAAGGGCCTCCAGCCGACCTCGCGAGGTCACCGCCCCCCGAAGATTGCCGGGGCCTCCAGGCAACTTCACCCAACACCGGCCAGGCCGCACGTGTGCCCCGCGGGACAGCCCCAAAAACGGTTCGGAAAGGAGCGTCGATGTGTTTGAACACATTGACGCCCAGTTCTGGGCCTCTCTGCACGGTGGCCTGCCGGGGCCCCCAGCGGGCCTCGCAAGGTGACCGACCTCGGTCTGGGATGCCGTTGCCATTCTGGCTGGAGCGGTCCCTTCGCCCTCGCGCGATTGTGAACAGCCCGGTCGCCCACACCTGCTCACACTCCTTCGTCTCTCGTCCGTCCACCCCTCTATCCCTCCCCCCCGCCGCTCCCCCATCACTGCTCCCTCCCTCTTCCATACGTGCTAGCGCGAGTAGCAATCGAATGCGGCGTGTCAGAGGAGGACGAGACCGATGAGGACGATGAGTAGAAGGATGAGGAGGCATAAGAGTAAAGAGGGATGCGACGAATTTCGTAAGGAGCGAGGACAAACACAAGGACGAGGAGGATGTGAAAGAGGTGGAGGAGGAAGACGAGGTGAAGGAGAGAGACGTACATAAAACAACACATTGTCCAGGAACCTGTCTAGGATTTAAATGACCCCGATTCGCGCGCGCGAGCAGGGAGAAGGAAATAGGGAACCAGGAGCATGCACAAATGAAGAGAACGCGAATCAGGCTGAGGAGGGGGAAGGGGAGGACAGTAAGGACGGAGAGAAGAAAGGAATAGGAAAGAAATAACGGGATTGCGAGATGGAGCGTAGGCGTATAATGAACACGAAGCAAGTGGCTTGGACGAATTAGAGCCTGAGCAAGCAAGAGCGCGTAGTTCTACTCGCATATTACGTATGACCATGCGCAGCCACCCCATATCCACACACACACACACACACTCCGTGACCATGTCAAACATTACCACGCGGGACATGCGCGTTGACATGTACCGGCCCAACGGGCCAGAGGCGTGCTAGAATCTACGGTACGAGTTTCAGAATGTTTCTAGTTCGCGGGCGCGTGGCGACCCCTGGGGTCCCCAGACGAAAAGTACCCTGGCAAGGTCCCAGCAAAGTCCCGGCAAGTACCTGGCAGGTCCGGGTTAGAGATGCCAGAACTCCTGGGCGCAGTCCCGGGGGCTTCCAGAGCGCCCCAAGGAGGCGCCAAATACGTGGCTTGCCCCACGGCCTCAGGCCAAGAGCGTGCCAGGATGGTCCAAGTTGGCCTAAAGCCAGCCCAAGAGGCGCCCAAGATGCCCCAGGAGGGCTCCAAGAAGACCCCAAGAGGGCCCGAGGAGGCAAATTTCATTGATCTGGTTGGGGTTTTTGAAAAATTGTGGCTGTACAGGCTTTTTAAAGCTTCCGACCGCCCAGGACGGCCCCTGAGGCCTCCAAGATCGACCCAAGCCAGCCTTCCAAGAGGCTCCCGGGACGGCCCCAAAACAGCCCACGAGGGCCCCAAGACGGCCAAAGAAGCCTCCGCAGAGGGCTCCAGAGGCTCCCATGAGGGCCCCAAGAGGGGAAACTCGAACAGACAGATCGAGCCTTCCCCGAAATTGTGCCCCCCAGATCGCCAGCAGGCCCCCGAGAAACCTCCAAGAGGCCCCCAGAAGCCCAAAAGGGTGCCCCACGGAGCCCCCAAGAGGCCCCGGCCTGCTTCGAGGCCGCCCGTGGCAGTGCAGTCCTTTCGCCGGGCGCCCTGGCAGAGCCTCAGCCCGAAGACCACCCAACGCCACAGAAGGAAGAGGGGGCGCCGACCAGACCGCCGCCGCGAGCGGAGGGGAGGGAAAGGGGAGGAGGAAGGAGGGGGGAATACGCCATCCGCCGATGCCACCACGTGGACTGCAGACGCCTGCACCGCACCGTCAGCCTGGGGATCAGCCGCGCTCTATCCGTGTGCGGGGGACCAGGGCCCCCCATGCGCAAAGGACACCATCGGGACACCGTGGCGGGACACCAAGTCGACACACCCGGGGCCCTGTACCCCGCGGCCAGGAAGCCAGGGGGGGCGGGAGAGCAGGAGGCCACCGGCAGCCGCCGGCGTGGCTTCCGCCACACTCCAGGGAGGCGTCTTGTTCGCGACCCAGTTTAGTCCCCACAGTTCCCGAAGAAGAAGGCCCCCTCCTCCTCCTCCTCCTCCTCCTCCTCCACCTCCTCCTCCTCCTCCTCCTCCTCCTCCTCCTCCTCCCCCTCCTCCCCTATCGAGTCCTCTATGCTCCTTCACGTCCGCCATGTGCACACCAACCCATTGCAACAGTGGCGCAATGTGGGCCGGCGGAACCAGCAAAGCGATCCGATAGCCAGGGCGCGGTGTCAGCAGAGGCATACGAACAACTAGGACCGCGCGGGCCACACGCGCGAGCCCATGGCGAGCCCTTTCCGACAAGCATGGGCTTTCTGCCGAGTCCAAGCAGAAGGTGTCAAGTAGCAGCCTTGCTTGCCGAGCGCGTTCCGCTACTCGCAGAGTGCCGTCTCGCAAAAGTCAGAAAACAACACTTGTCTGCTTTGATGTAACTTCTCGTAGGTCCCCCGCGGCGGATCCAGGCCGTTTGCGAGTGGTTACTTTGCGAGTAGTGGAGCGCGCTCGTCTACTTTCTTCTTCAGCAAGCAAGATGCCGGGGTTCTGTACGCGCGCACTCGACGACTCCACAAGAGCAGCACTGTTGTGCTTGCCCTCCTGTCGGTTGGGACCAGGGGGGCCGTCCGCGCACTTCGGACACACTCCACAGTCATCGCACATCCAGCAGTCCTTGCACACAACCCTTAAGGCGGGCATGTCCCTCTACGGGAGGAGTATGCAAGAATAGTCAAATCAAATCGTATGGGGACGCTGTTTTGATTGTGTTTGAGCATCTGAGGATATTCTGGGGTATCTTGAATTTGTCGTCCAAAATCCGCCTGTAGGGGGACATGTCCGACCGAACACAGCCCCTATGCAGGCCGCGCGTGCGCGCCTCCGCGCTCGCAATGCCGGGGTCCCTGCAGATCCGCCGGCCTCGGAGAGCTCAGCGCAGAAGTGCGCCGGCACACGCGGGGGCCAGGTGCCGTTCATTGTCGGGGCTTCTGCTCGCGCGCACTTCCTCGTCATCCGCATCAGCACCGTCGTCAGCATCGCCGGCGTCATCATTGCCACCATCATCATCCTCATCATCATCATCATCATCATCATCATCATCATCATCAGCATCCTCAACCTCATCCTCATCCTCATCCTCATCCTCATCATCATCACCATCACCATCATCATCACCATCATCATCACCACCATCATCATCATCATCATCATCATCATCATCATCATCATCATCATCATCATCATCATCATCATCATCATCATCATCATCATCATAGTTTTGGTTCGAGGGTTTTGAGGGCGTCAGCCAGGCTGACGCGATCCTTCGCGCTGAGACTAGCGCAGCACGGTGCGCGACTCGGTCAGCAACCAGTGTGCCCGCCGCGATCGCCAGCGGGCCCGCCCGCCGTAGGCGGCCAGGGCGGGCAGGAGCAGCAGGCGCCGACGCGAGGGCCTGGCGCAGGGCGCCAGGGCCTGCTCGGGCCATCACGGCTCCCCGCCCGGGAGGACGGCGGGCAACGGCGGCGCGGGCGGCGGCAGCAAGGCGGGCTGGGTCAGTGCCGACCGCGCGCGCGGCCCCGCGCGGCCGCCCTGGTCGAGGACGCGCGCCGCGGCGGCCAGGGCACGCGGACCCCGCAGCGGGGCCGAGGCAGGCACGCGGCTGGAGGTCAAGGCCTTGCAGCGCGAGATCGGCGGCATCAAGAAGGAGAGCATGGCGCTGCAGCGCTCGACGCCGAGGGGCGGCGCGGGCGCGGAGGAGGCGCGCGGCAGTGACAAGGTGGCCGTGCTGCGGGGCATCGTCGCGAAGCAGGAGGCCATGGGCAGCTCGAGTGTCCTCCTGGCATCCTACCGCAGCGAGCTGGCCGAGCTGGACAAGCGCTGCGTAGCGAAGCAGGGGCAGGTGTCCGCGCGGAAGGAGGCCCTCGCCTGCGCCGAGAAGGAGCTCGAGGAGGTGTTGGCCGAGCGTGCAGCCCTCGGCGCGGAGCGCGCCAAGGTCGCCGCGGCCCACCTGGCGGAGATCGCGACCAAGGCCGCATCGCCTGCCGAGCGAGGGCGGCTCGCCTTAGGCTTCCTTGGCAACCTCCAGGCCGCGGCGAGGCCGCTACCGTCGCCGCTGCACCAAAGCCGAGCGGCGCAGGGGGGCGGCACCTGCGTGAAGCCAGTCGAGGGCGATGGAGTCGGCCTTGGTTGCGGATCCGGGGCGGCCGTCCGCCAAGGCAAGAGGCCACCGCCACAGTGCCAGAGGCGGGGTCATCAAGAGGACGCGACGGCGGCGGCGCGCCCGTGCCCCTATGCCTCGACGCGCCGGTTCCCGCGAGGCCCCCCGCGGCCCGCGCGGCGCTCGAGGGTGGCTCCGCGGGGGCAGGCCCTCGCGGCGAGGGCGGCTGCCGCCCTAGCCGCCCCGAGGGCGCGGCCCCGAGGCGGCCAGCCTGGCAGCGGCGCGCTCGCCCCAGGCGCAAGGACACCTTCGAGATCATGACGGTCAACGGGTCTGCATGGGGCCCGCTCACCCAGCTCTGGCAGGAGAAGAAGGCTGGCGCTGGGTTCGTGGAGAGCCACCGTGCGGACGCGTGGCTCGTCCAGGAGACGCACCTCCACGCGCGCGACATCAGCGTCCAGGAGGCGTGGTGCAGATGCGCAGGGGTGAAAGCCGCCTTGGCGTCTGGCGCAGCTGGCACCGGCGGCGCAGGGGGCGCCCGCGCGGCCTCGGGCGGCGTCGGTGTCGCCGCACCCGCCACGCACGGCTTGGCCAACGCCAGCACGGCGGGCGGCGGCCGCGTGACCTGCAGCGACGGGCGCGGCATCGTCGCGGCGACGGGCGCAGCCCGCCGTGGCGGCCTCGCCCTCGGCAGCATCTACCTGGCCAACGACATGGTGGGGGGGCATCGCTGCGGGCCCTCATCGAGATCGGCGACGCGCTGGTATCCCAGCGCAGGCCGCGGGTTCTCGGCGGCGACTTCAGCGCCGCGCCCGACGTCCTCAAGGCGAAGGCGGGCTGGCGGCTGGAGGCGGTGCAGGGCGCAGTCGCGCAGTCGGCCGAGGGCGAAACTTGTTTCCAGGCCGCCGCGCCCACCTACCTCGACTGCCCCGTCGCGCACCGCAGCCTGGCGGAGGCCGGGAGGCGCTGCAGCGCGGTCACCCCTGGGCCATTCAGGCCCCACTGCGCCGTCAAGCTCGCGCTGAACGCGCGCATGGAGATCGCGCCCGCGCGGGTCCTGAGGCAGCCGAAGCCGTTCCCCAGGGAGCTGCCCGTCGGCCCGCGGCGCGAGGCCGCCCCGCCGTCTGCCGACCTGCAGGCGCTGGCGGCCGCGGCGATCTCCTCCCCAGCAGCGATGGAGGAGGCCGGCCTCGGGGCCATGCGCCAGGCCGAGGCAGAGCTGTGCCGCGCGTTCCACGTCGACGACCCGCTGGACGCGCAGGCGCACAGCGGGCGCTGCCAGGGGCCCGAGGAGCGCTGGGCGCGCCCTGCACACGACCTCCCGCAGATCTCGGGCGGGCCCAAGTCGAGCGGGCAGGCGCGGCACCTCCTCGCCGTGGCCGACTACCTGGACGACGCCGCGCAGCGGCGCGCGCCCGCGCGGGCGGCCAAGTGCCGCGGCGCCCGTTGGGTGGCCGCGCTGGAGGCCGCGGCCGTCGCGACTGCCGACGAGCTGGCGGCGCTGGCCTCGAAGCCCGCCACGGGGCCGCCGAGCGGGCCGCTCAGCACGGCCGACGCCGCTACGAGCGCTTCAACAAGTGGGTGCTGGAGGCGCTCGAGCACGGCGCAGGCGGGCCCCGCGCTCGGCGGCGCGGCCCGCGCGGATGAGAGGAGGACGAGCTGGACACGCTGTGCGCCCCGAGAGCGGGCCAGCGCGAGGTGGGCGCCATCGACGGGCATTGGGCGACCGAGGTCTGGAGCGCGGCCGACGGCTCAGACGGGTGGCAGGACTTCGAGAGGCAGTCGGGCTCGGAGGCGCGACCCAGCCAACTGCAGACGAGTGGCCGGGCGCCGCCAGGTCTTTCGCGAGGCGCACGGGCACGGGCGCGGACCGCGCATCGCCCTGGGCCCTCGCCCAGGCATCCACGGCCACGGCCGAGCTTTTCGTAGACATCGGCATGGCGGCCGAGGAGCGGGGCGGCTGGCCGCTGGCGGCGCGGGCGTGGCTCATCGCGATGCTGCCCGAGCCCGCGGGCGGCTGGCGGCCCATCGGACTGCTCTCCAGCATCCCACGGATCTGCAACAGGCTCAGACAGGCCGAGGCGCGGCGCTGGGGGCCCCCCCCTCCGCGGCAGCGGCGCAGGCGCCTCCTGGGGCGCGATCGGCCCAGGAGCCCACCCGGCGCCAGGCGCTGGCCGCCGAGGCGGCAGGGGCACAGCAGCTTCACGGAGCCGCGCTGCTGATCGACCTCGAGAAGGCACACGAGACGGCGCGGCTGGCCCGCGCCGAGCGCCTGGCCCGCCGAGCTGGCCTGCACGGCCGATTGGTCCGCTGCGCCACGTCGACCTACCGCGAGCGCCGACGCATTCGGGTGGGCACCGTCGTCGCCGAGGCGCGCACGCTGGATGCGGGCCTGCTGGCTGGGTGCGCGCGCGCGGGGAGGGCCCCGAAGGCGGCGATGCTACCGGTGGCGAAGGCGCACTCCGAAGAGTTTGGCGCCTGCAGCAGCGGCGAGCTGAAGTCCGACATGTGCATCTTCTACGACGACGCGACTGTGGCCTGCTACGGGCGCGCCCCGAGGGCGATCGCGAAGCACCCGGTGGAGGCGGGGCTCGCGGCGGCGGCGGGTCTGGCCGCGCTCGGCTGCAGGATCTCGGGGGCCAAGACGGAGGCGGCGGCCTCCGACCCGCTGGCGCGAGACAAGGTCCAGGCGGCGCTGAAGCCCGGCAACCTGAGCGCCAGGCCGACGAAAGTCACGAAGAACCTGGGCGTGGACTTCTGCCTGGACGGCTCGGCCGCGGCGGCGGCGGCGGCGAGGAAGCGGCGCGCCAGGGCCCGCGAGCAGTCGGGCGGCGGGCTCGCGGCGCCAGCCCATAAGCGCCACCACGCGCCCGCTCGCGGGCGGCCCCCTCCGGACGACGGCCCACGGCTGCAGCCTGCAGGCCTGGACTACGAGCGAGCTCGAGCAGTGGCGCTCGGCAGTCGGGTCGCCCACTTTAGGCAGCGCGCGGGGCCGACCGCTGCAGGTGGGCTTCGCTGGCCGCCGCCCCCTGGCGCGACCCCTGGTGCTCGCAGGCCGAGCAGGCGCTTCCGGCCCGGGGTCGCGGGCTCGCGCGGGACCACCCCGACGCCACCAACGACGACATGCCCTGGGCGCGGAGGCACGCCGTGCGGGCTCGCCTCGAGCAGGGGCGCGGCGCCCTGGCGGGGCGCGGCCCCGCGGCGGCGGCGCTGCTCGCGCTCGAGCGGCTCGGACGGAGCTCAACGGCAATGCACCGATGGACCGCGGACGACGGGGCGCCGCCGAAGCTCGAGGAGATCGGCGGCCACACGCTGCGCAGGCACATCCGCGACTCACACCAGCGCCGGCTCTGGCGCGAAGCCGCAGCTCGCGCCGAGGACTTCGGGCGCGCGGCCAGCGGCGCAGCTGCCAGCGGCCTCCGTCGGCGGATGCTCGCAGCCAAGGCGAACACCGAGCAGCGGGCGCGGCGGTCCAGCGCACGCAACGCTGCCCTCGGCGGGCTCAGGCCCGCGGCCCGCCGAACCGCCCTCGACCCGCCACCGCGCCGCTCGGACGCCTGCCCCGCGGGGCGCGGCTGCCGCGGCACGGCGCGGCACCTCGCCTGGCGGTGCCCCGCCCTCGCGGCGGCGAGGCGCGACGCCATCGCGGGCGACGAGACGCTGCAGGCGTTCGCCGACGTGGCCGAGGCGCCCGACAGCGAGGACCCCCGCTGCTCGAGGGCCCTGATCCCCGACCAGATGGCCGCCCTCCCGCCGCCGCTGGAGACCGAGGCGCCAGCGTCCTGCGCACCGACGGCTCGGCGATGCGCGGCAAGGCGGGGTCGCCAGAGGTGCGCGCTGGCCGGGGGCTCGCGGCGCCGCAGGCCCGCGGCGCTGCGCGTGGCGCCCGGGGCTGCGTCCCCGCCCACCTGCCGCAGGACGCCAGCGCGGGCGAGATCCTGGCTGCGACCCGCGCCCTGCGCTGGGGTATGCCAGGCGCGGACGGACCCCCCTTGATCAGGACGGGCTGCGAGCTGCTCGTGACGGGGTTCGCCGCGGGCAGGGCCTGGCGCTGCGCGCAGGACCGCCCGCGCCTGGAGGCGCGGCGCGAGTTCTGGCAGGCCGTGGAGGGCTTCGGCGGCCAGCGCCTCGCGCGGGTCACCAAGGTGAAGGGGCGCGCTGGGCTCCGCTCGGTCCGCGACGGCCACGCAATGCCAGACGACTACGAGGGCAACCGCGCCGCGGACAGCTCCGCCAAGAAGGGCGCGGAGCTCCACCCCACGCGCGAGGCGGCGGCGAGGCGCATCGGCTGGCCGACGCAATCGCGGCGGCGGCAGCCCGCTGGCTCGGCGAGGCGCCGCAGCTGGGGAGCAACCCCTCGCGGCGGCCGCCGGCGCGGACGCGGGCGCCTCGGGGCCCACTTGCTGCGGGCGCGGGCGCAGGCGGCAAGGCGCCGCGCGCTGCCGCGACGGCGGGCCAGGCTGCAGGCGATGGCCTGCGTTGCGCACGGCACGCCCGTCCATGGTGGACCACCTGGGCTTCAGGCGGCGGGGCGGAAGCGCCAGGCCCCTGCCCGGCTATGTTTTGGCGCGGCCCTGGGGCCACCACCTTTCCAGAACCCTCAGGACTTGAGCCCATACCAGGCCCACGGCCCCCTCACCATGCCCAGCGGCCGCCCGCCGCGAAACGAAATTGTTGCGCTGACCTGCGAGAGCGGGAGGGCTCACACTGAAGCATCATTGATGCATGCTGGACTCACCGTGATCTCCCTCCTCCTCTTCCTCCTCCTCCTCCCTTTTCCGTTTCTCCTCCTCTTCCTCCTCCTTCTCCTCCACAATTGCTCAATATGAATACTACTCTCCCTACTCTCCCTCTTCCCATGATGACGGTTTGAAAGTGCTCGACCCCCCCCCGCGTACTGTTTTTTACACAGGTTTCCCCGGAGTTGGGTTTTCGCCTGCATGTTTTTCAAAATGCTGCTCTCGCTGAGGCGCCAGCCTCATTTTCGGGCCCCGCTCGTTCCGAATCGTGCTCCCGCTGCAGCGTTGGCCTCATTTCCGCGCTTCCGCTCGTTTCGACTCGTGCTCCCGCTGCCCCGCTGCAGCGCTGGCGTTATTTCCCGTGCCATGCCACGGCATGCAATACAATGCTAGGTTGATATTACGCTTCGCGGTGCTCTTCTACGCCATGCCATGCCGTGCTCTACAATGCATCGCGTACCTTTTCGGGATCATTGCCCTGCTCGACATCCGACTGTGCGAGTAGAGAGGGGATCTACGCCATGGTAAGGGATGGGAGGGAGGGGTAGGATGTCAGATATGACGCGAGCGCACCTAGCTTGTCCCCCTCCCCCTCCTCCTCCTCCTCCTCCTCCTCCTCCTCCTCCTCCTCCTCCTCCTCGGACTTCCTTGTCCTCCGACGACGGCAACCCTTTTGTCCTCCGTTGCGCTCGACATCGACAAGAGTTGGAGGCTTGGGGGTCTCGACGGCGACGGCGACGGCACCGCCCTCCTCGCCAGGCGCCGCCGACGAAACGCACATGCGCCCCCTGCGGGCGGCGCCCGCTTGGGCACTGGCGGCCGCACCGCCACCGCCATCGGCGCCGCCGTCGCTGCCGCCGTCGCCCCTCTTCTCGAAGAAGAATAAGAGCCATAAACATAAACTTTTGGCGCTACGCGCAGATTTCTTGGATCCGCGCCGGGCCCCCCCTCGGCGGCACCTCCGGCGCCGCCCCTGGCGCGTTCCGCGCGCCAGGGAGGAGGGCTCGACGCAGATCCAAGAAATCCGCGCGGACCGTCAAAAGTTTATGTTTACGCCGTGTGTGTTCTTCTATCGTCCATGGGAGGGAGGAGTACACGCTGGTCATTGAAAGTAGGTGTTCTTGAACTCCCAGATCCTAGTCTACTTCAAGCGCCTTCCTACTTCAAGAATCGATATGCTTTTGCTGTGTTCTGATATTCT